ACGACCATATGGCACTTTTCAGACTTTTCCGCTGAGTATGTCTTGTCGACCACTTACATGTCATAAATGTTTGAACATTCTTCAATCCTTTCCACTTTTCAAAATCTCTGGACCATTTTCAACGAACTTGGCACAAAGTATCAATGGATATAGGGAGCTGAAATTAGTTAAAATTAATGGCTTTCATCGGAGATTATGATATTAAGAGATAATGTGGGTAATCTGCTTGATAATATTTCAAAGAACTGCTACAGGCGCGGATCGTAAACAAAAGCTAAAGACGCATTTCTCTCTCTTTTTTATTTTGATTTCATTTGTGCCACTTTTGACTGAATTCATAGATAAAGGTTATTGGATGTTTTTGGAGCCATTGACTGGAGAAAAAAAGTATGTGTTGATATATATATAATTCGTTTATAAAATGTCAATGTTCTATTAATGATCTGTATTGTATTTAAATCTCTTTATTTTATATTTGAATAAATCGTTAATGTTTGTTATTTATCTTGTCATTTTTTGTATCTTTGATGAAAAATATATTTTCTCAAGTCCTTGTAAGTGATATTAAATTCCTGACGAAACTAAATTATCGGAGAAAGGGATTTACTGACGCACTTGCAAATTATGTCTTTTTGGAATTCGAGCATCTATAAAGCATACCTATGTATTTTCAACTTAACTACCTATCACAACTACATAAACTGATCATTTGTAAACTTAGATTCACACAGATTCATAGACAAGAGACCCATTGGCCTCAACCTACTGACATTTTTTTTGTGTTAAGGAAGCTCTAAACACTGCTCACTGAAGAATTCTAATTACCTGGTAGTTTTATGCAGTTGGAGTGAGCTGCCCTTTGATGAACAAAGGAATAAGTGGAAATTTGCTGTAAATGACACGATTTGAAGTAGATTGTTGTATTCTTAACATTATACATGTATTAGACCAAGAAAAAGTAATAGAACACATTATTTGCAGGTATTTTCCCGAAGCAATTCTTGTTCACTTGTCCCTCAGTGTCTTTGAACGTTTCTCCTGTAAAAATATGACAGGTACCCATGTTGAAAATGAACTAGATAAACTCGGTATGTACACCTTTATATGATACTAAAAGTCTTTTTTTTTCATTAGTGTTTAGAGCTTCTTTAATGGGTCATAGATACAGATTGGAAGTTATTTACTTCAAAATTTTTGGTAGAATTTTACGTCTTGCATGTTGTGAGAACGTTTCAGGTCTATATATTATAAAAGCTTGTTTAGAAAACTCTTTATATTTAGTATCTGGAAATTACCTAAACTACGGATTTCTGGCGTGTTTTATTGTCAAACATCCTTGCACTTAATATTAAAGAAATGTGGGAAATTTGTGGCTTGTTCAAGAGCTTGCGTGAAGAAAAGGAAGTTTCAAAAAGTTATTTCAACAGGCGTAGTTGGAGTGGTACAAGAAAAGTCTCTATGGATAGCAAGTGTTGTCAATTCATGTTAAGTGATGTGTGCAGTGTTGTGCTAGCAATTCGAACATACCCAATAAAATGTAAACATATAAATATTAACAGGGCTCGAGCCCCATGTTTAGAAACACGGTATTTGTTGCAAAGTTATGGAGAACGCCATTGTCATTAAATATAAAGAATTTTCATGTAAGTTCAAACCATAAAACTGAAGTTATTTTTTAAATAAATAGAAAAATTCAAAACGACAATGCAAATGTGTCTGTGCCCCTTTAAGGTGGCCTTTACATTCCTGCGTTAAGCTTTGTACTCGTACTGTACTCTCGCCTTTTTTTTTTTCTTTTTTGAAAATCATATGAACAAATACAAATCTCTACAGCATGTGTACATGGTGATGCTTGACCATGCTTCTCTGAGTAAGATTTAAAAAAACTTTTTTGTATATTCTTGTCAAAAACATGGACCTCTATTTTGACCTTATCCCATGGGGCCATTGAATTTACACCACATACGGATGCATGCATATTGATTTTAATTATGTTGTAGCCCTATTCTTTTAAAGACTATTTCCAGTTATTTTGACCTATTGTGACACAACCCAGAAGGTCATGAGGTCAAAGAGATTTTGAATCTTCATAACATGGGAGAGGCTGTCTTATTAATTTGACTAAATATGGCCTGTTTTTCTTGAGAACAATTAAGATGTTGAAAGAAATTTACTAAACCTACTTTTACATTCCTGTGTCAAAGACCCCTTTGAGGTCTTTATATTAACAAAGACACTCTGGAAGCTTGTTCTTGGGCAAATTTACAGATGGTCCCAGCCATTTTTCTTAATCATGATCTTTAGTCTAATTGAACTAAAAAATTACTTTCATTATTAAAATTTTGATTTTGACTTAGCCATTTACAGTGGTTTGGTTCATACATGTATTTTCTTACTCTACAAGTATATTATATATGTTGATGAAAGGTTTCCAATACCGAGTTCCAAATATGGACACTTTTGTACAAAGAATCTTGATAATAAATGAAAATTTAGTCAAATAATAATTATGCATCATTGACAGGGAATGTGAAGATGTACTGACGAAAATTTCCATCTATCACTCTCACCATTATTTAGATCTTTTTCCGAACAATTAAGTGTGATCTTTATTCCTTTCGTATTTAAATGAGCCAATAAAAAATAAAGATTTAAAGGGTCAATAACTTTGAAGTGTGAAACAAGGCATTAGTTGAATATAAATGCTTAATATACAATTAAGTAAGAGCATTTAATTATCTTTCAAGTATCTTTCAAGATTGAATTGATTCTTCGTACGTAATTTCGTAATCAGTGCAATTTAATAGTTATAACATAGGACCAATCTTACTACAGTAATGTCTTCAGAGCCCCTGGCATAAAGTCCTATTCAACTTCACTCGAGAACACCAGACGCTATCTTAGGGATGGAAACTTATATACCTCAATGAAAACTTCAGACAATATCTAAATAGATTTGTTTGGCAATATGATGTATAAGCTATAGATAATGTCCCAAAAGAAACTATAAGGAATGTACCAATGGAATGTACAAAATCTCAACAGAACCTATTGTAATGACTGGAAAGAAACTGTGGACATATTACGTATATAGTTATTGGTTTGTAACTGTATCTTCCATTCAGGACGGATGCTACGCTACAGACCTTTTCTTTCAAAAACCAAAACAAAACAAAAACACTAAATCTTGTTATATCTAAGTAAAATAAATAAGTTTAGCCGCATAAAGTTTCATTTTTCATTCGAAGTTTCTCTGTGTTCTATCAAATGATGAAAAATTGCATATATTTATAAGGGTGGTGCCAAAAAAAGTCCAAGGGCCTTCACGGTCACCTGAGTATAAAGCATCCATGGGAATGGTATAAATTATATAATAAAACAAAACAACCGAAAATTAAAAACAAGGGATATGGGATGATCAGATATCAACAAATTAGTTTGTCTCGCTCAAAATGCCCTGGATATGCCAGTGCTATCAAAATGCAATATTCGCCTCGGTCAATATTGATTTTTTTTTCAGGTTAATATCAAACCATATTCACCACCAAAAGAGTCCGTAATTGCATAATGTACTTCAATAAGATATTTTTGCCTCATTTTTTTAAAATCATCTATTATTTACAAGTCTGCCTAAATACTAAAAACTATAATTTAAGTAGTTTCGTATTATATATTTTAAAAAAAATCTTGTATTATTCTTTAAGTCAATTTACCTATCAATTACATTATTGACATTGATTAATTATCAAAAATGAATAACAAAGGGGAATAACTTCTCTTAAAGCAAAGTAAATATTCCCATACATGATCATAATAGACCCCACTCTCACTCCAGAACCCCGTCTCAGGGGCCATGGATTTCACAATTTTGGAAGATGCCCTTCTTCTCATTATAAACATACACTTAAGTTTCTCTGCTAAATATTCAAAAGCCGAAAATAATTTCAGAGAATTTATGCATTTTCACTATTTAGAGCCCCACCCTAACTCCAGAACGTAACCCATGGACCAAGAATTTCACTACTTTGGAAGAGGCGCCCTTGCACACCACAAACATGCACTTAGTTTGTATGCTTCATTCTCATCTGTAGAGAAGATTTTCAAAGCATTAAAATGCATTTTCACTAAAGAATCAATAGAGCCCCACCCTAGCTCTCGAATTTTTGACCCTGGAGCCATGAATTTCACAAATTTGGTAGAGGGCTCCATGCTTATTGCAATCATGTCAACAGTTGACTGCTTGATGTATAGGAGATAAGAAGATTTTTAACGATTGCATTAATTTTGATGGTTTTAGCCCCACCCCTTTGGTCCCAGGGGGCAGGGACCATGAAAATAACAGTTTTTGTTCCCCTTCACCCATAGATGCTATATGCCAAAATTGGTTGAAATTGGTTCAGAGGTTCCAGAGTAGAAGCTAAAAATGTTCAAATGTTAACGCACGACGGACGATGGCGGAAAGAAACAGATAGCAAAAGGTCACCTGGGGTGACACAGGTAACCTAAATAAGGAATCTGAACAATATACAAAGTCTTCAATTTCTTAAATATTTTAGAAATGTGATACATGTATATGCATCATTCAAAATAATCCAAAAATTTATACCAATCCATGCATTCAACTGTTTTTGTAGCATATGCCCTTAAGCCCGACATATTTCTTTGAACGATCAGTCTCAATGTGAACATTCACTTGTTTCAAGATTTGGTTTCCCGCTTTTCCTATTGGATAATCAACATACACATTCCGTGGGTCAATAATCATTTTTTATAACCCCATTGGAACTAGAAATACTTGTTTCCAAGATGCATCGAGATGCATTTTATCTATATACCGGTTCATGTATTCAAGTATTGGGCATTTGTAACTTTCGTCTACATTCGAAGCATTTGGAGGCAAGATGGAACAATAAATGCAAACGTTGACATGAATACTGCTTATCTGTATTACCTATGTATTGGTTTTCCGTGCGTCTGTATATAATGACCTAACAGAAATCTTTGCCGTAATATGTACTGTCACGGTCAGAAAGATAAAGGATTCTCATTCCAAACTGGCATAACGGTACAAGCAAGATCACTGAAACGGCCACGATGGAAGGAAAAACTAAAATATTTCCAAGGATTAAGTGTGTACGAGCTTACGTCTCAGAATCTAAACCCGAGGACCAGGGCGCCGACTGCCACGATGTGGAAGATACTCACTGGATTAATGGCTACCCCACCCCTATAGCAAACCCCATGTCTGGGTACGAGCAGTATGCCTCCACTCGGAAATCCTGGGGGATCAACGCTCTCGGCACTCTGGTTGTGGAGGTGGAAGCAGACGATGGAACATGTGGAGTCGGTGTAACCATTGGTGGTGTCCCTGGCTGTTACATCGTGGAGAAACACCTCAGCAGGTTTGTGGAGGGACAGGATCCTCGAGATGTGGAGCTCATGTGGGACCAAATGTTCCGGGCCACCCTCAACTACGGACGCAAGGGTTTGCCTATTCAGTGCATTAGTGCTATCGATCTTGCACTATGGGATCTGCTGGGAAAGCTGAGAAATGAACCGGTCTATGCATTACTTGGCGGGAAAACGAAGCAACGCCTCCCAGTGTATTCTACTACTGCTCGTCCAGATATCGCAAAACAATTGGGATTTGTTGGCGCAAAAATTCCGTGTGCTTATGGGCCAGCTGATGGTGACCAGGGATTGAAGAAAAACGTGGAAATATTCAAGAAATGGCGTGAAATTGTAGGTCCAGATTTCCCGCTCATGCTGGATTGTTATATGGCACTGAGTGTACCTTACACCGTGAAACTAGCGAAAGCACTTGAGCCCTTAGGATTGAAGTGGATAGAAGAGTTCTTGCCACCTGACAGCTATGAAGGTTACAAAGAAGTACGGGAAGCCTTGCGTGGTTCCACAGTTTTACTGACTACAGCGGAACATGAATATAGTCGCTATGGATATCAACTTCTTCTTAATTCTAAATGTGTGGACATTCTCCAACCAGACATCTCGTGGCTCGGCGGAATCACGGAAGCGCGACGAATCGTCGCCATGGCGTCAGCCCATGACGTGTTGGTTGTTCCCCATGGATCCAGTATTTATTCTTACCATCTACAATATGCCTTTCGTAACTGTCCTCTTGCAGAATTTATCAACCTTAGCCCGAAAGCGGATAAAATAGTCCCATATTTTGGTGGGTTATTTCCAGACGAACCCTTACCAGCGGACGGTTTTATCGACTTGCCCGATCGGCCTGGGTTTGGCGTGACTCTGTGTAAAGACACACTGCGTCGACCATTCCAACGTTCTTCGGAAGAATCTAGAGTACAGGCGCTTAGTAACGCTACGTTCAAGTCCACAAAGAAATCTCACATGCCATTTTGAACGTGTGCGTCTTTTTTACGATAATGAAAACATACTATTTTTCAGCTTTTCTAGCATTCTACGTTATTGAAATTTAGAGGTATCAAGTGATATAACCCAGAATACCTTACTTTATCTTCAACATCATTTTGCTCAGTTGTGGTGGTAATAAGAGAATTTTGTTAAATAAATAACAATCTCAATCAGAGACTTAAAACAGTTTAATTTTGTCATAATATATATGTATAACAACTTAACAAAAGAACATGTTTATCTGTACAATATTCACAACAAGCAACTCAGAGTTGTAACATTGCCATCAAACCTTGGTAAATGTCTATCAAAAGTACTGCCATACAAAGACCTCGCAATGCCATACAAAATGGAATGTGAACTGATACTAATGAGAAATTTATCCTAGTCAAGATGTTTGACAGACAAAACAGGATTTTGTTCCCTCTTAATTAATTTATACAATTTTTTCCTTATATCAATTGTAAATCATTTACTTTGTGAGAACTTGATTTTGCGATACAGTTTTGGTCTCATAAACGGAAAAGGGGCGTAATTCCAACTTCTAGTAATTTTTGTACAGAGAATACAAGAAAGGTAGAACTCAAATAAATCCATTACAATTGTATCGCAAAACAGATTCCCACGAAATGTGACTTACAGAATCATACTAGAATATTTTTAACATTCACTCTCTCTCGCAAGCATTCTAAAGAAGTAAGTGAATTAAGCTGAAGTCCCCCTCCCCCCACAAAACTATACACTGTTTTATCCCTTATTTACTTTCTTTCATAAACAATGTTGCAACTTCTGAAAATCACAGAGTATACATAGCACTTCCTTAGCACTGTAAACTTGTCAAGCTAACTAAAAATATTGAATAATCTTCATCTTAAAAAAAATCAACAAAAAACTTAAAACCACTGCCATGCTTTATGGTGTCAAAACATTCATTTCATATCTAACATTTGAAGTGATTTGGCATCATCTGTCACAGGGAACCATTCTCTGTAATATTCATATAGGTAAGCTTAGTGATGTCTCTCATCCAGATCCTTTCTTTAAATCACACAACTACTGAAGCAATATACATGACTGTCATACATATTCACAATGCCATTTGTATTATCACTTAAGAAAGTAACCTTGGTAGGTCACTAATCCAACAATTTACAAAACATGGAGGGTATACCACACTGTATGAAACAGAGACATTTGGTGGAATGCCAGGTGTGCAAAATCTGACTTAACATGTGATAAGTCAACTGACATCAACAATTTTCTATAAGTACAGTATAAGATAATTTTCTTGTATGTACATGTAGTATTAGATTATTGTCTTGAAGTATTAGTTAATTTCCTTGAAGTAATAGGTAATACTGGCTTATCAACCTATTATGTATTTATCAACCTATTATGTATATGTTCAAAATATCATTAACTTCAACTCTGCAAAGCCAGACATCTAATTACTCAATTTGCTACAGATTTGCGAGTATAGATAACTACATGTAACTGGGACACCAGAGACATCATCATGAATGACTATAAGGATTAAATAAAGTTTCAATGTCATTTTCTTTTTTTTTCTCACCTGTCCTGAAAACTAGTATACATCTTGCATGAACCTGATTTTATACAAAAATACTTTTATACTACCCTTGTATGACAAGCATAATAGAAAAAAATACATAGACTAGAAGGTTATATAAATGAAAATAAATTATAGATTTGTTACATGTACTGAATGAAACTCTGAAACTACATGTATGTTTATGAAGACATTATCAAGTTTTAAAAAAGATATCTATTAAAATGGTGAATATTACTTTGGACGGTACTGCATATAAACCTTGTAGCAATATTGAAAAAAGTACTGTTATTATTGGTATACCCAGCTGTATAAACAGTTCCAAAAAGGACTGAACATTAAAACTATGCAAACTAGATAACATAACCAAAGCAACAATACAGCAACTCAAAGCTACGGCACTCTTTCTGTCAGATATCTTCACAGACCCTAACGCATGATTTCTTGGTCATTGCAGTGTTTGACTAGATACAGTTTTCTGAGATGAACTTGACATCTTTCCCTGACAATGTTTCTATGAACACTGGGATCATCCACTGACACAAAATACACAAGCCACTCATTGATAAAGCAGTCAGACTTCATCGGTGTTTTGTAGCTTTGATAACAATGCCTCCAGCAGTTTTAATTTGGCTTTCACTTGCTGAAATACAAAAGGTTACATTTCTATTAGTATGAACAAATGTTTTTAAGAGGTTAACTACATGTAAATTATGTTCAAATGGAACTGAATAACACAACAAAAGGGGGGTTTAGTGAATCTGTTCTGTTTATAACCCGATAATCAGTACCTTGTAGCTTGTGTACTCTGTCTGCAATGGTTCTCTATCATCTCGCTGTACCTTCCTGTAAAGGTTAAAGGTCAGAATAATGAGAATACATGTAAACTAAAAGGGAACAAATGAAATGTTTGTGTGCATATATTTTAGTAATTTTGGTAAAAACATACATACCTTCCATTTTTTTGAAAGAAATCTTCTTCAAAGTTCCTTAAGGTCCTGCGTATTCTTTTCTTCTCTCCCTTAGACTTCATCAACTCATCCTGAAGCTCTGGTCTGAAGAAAGTTTTAAGCATAACTAAAATCTGAAGTTAATATATTCTCAAGACGAAACATATTATCTATAATTCTTTCGGATATCCATAGAAGGCTTGTCATGATCACTTCTAATCTACACTACAAATATACATGCACTTCCAAAAGGGAAATTTCACGCACCTGAAATTTTATCAGAATTGAAGGCCAGATAAGCCAGACTTACATTGACATTTCATGAAGATTTGTCTCCTGGTTCTGATTGCCCTCCTCCTCTTCTTCTGGCAGGCTCAGTTTCCTCTTCACTTTAGGAGAATGTTCCTTCCTGGTAGCCTCCTTTGATATTGGCCGCATCGAATCAGGGAGGACAGAAAAGTCTCTAGTGACAGCAAAGTCCATAGTCCCCATTGTCCCCAAACCAGAACCAAGGCCATCCTCAAGGTCATCATAATGAGCCGTGGGAATCCGCACTGAGGGTCTCTGTAATTATACCCATTGTAATATTAAATTTGGAGCACATGTTCTTTATTGTTCATTAATAAGTTGTACCTTCATACAGGAACATAAAGTTGTTATGTTAAATCATTTGTGCATGGTGATTATACATCAATGCATAATTTAAATAACTGTACATCTGTTAATTTAAAGACTGTTCTCTGTGTTTTGACTTACATATGGGTTTTGGAAGCCTCCCTCTAATTCTATTGGTCCGTCCTCTGGCACTGTTTGTAACTCATTCTTCTCTCTTGGCTAAGTAACAAACATATAATATAGCAATTCTTATTTCATTACAACAAACAGGAAAATAGTTTTTGTGAATTACTCTGATATACTTACGGAATTAGGTTTAGACAAGAGTCTTTTAATTTTCCTGTATCGGTCATACAAAGGTCTCATCAAATCCTTCTCCTCCCTTGTTTTCTATGACAGATTTAATAATAATACTGTAGCATAAACATAATAATATGGCATACATTTTTTAGAGTACTAAAAATCAATTAATTTGAAATATCTGAAATAGTAAATACTCCTTAATTTGACTTGTTGATGATTTTTTCGATTTTAACTTGATATTAATTTTTAAGATTCCTATAACTTACTGGTCTTCCATGAAGATTTTCAAAATGAAGCAAGGATTTCTGAACTGCTAACTTTTCATCTAAAATCTGGTCTGTGGTCATCATCTGGCAAAGCAAATCAAGTCCCATTTTATGATTTGTTTTATCAATCTTTCAGAAAACTTTAAGGTGCACAAATCATTCAAGCCTGTAAATGCTTAAAATTTTGCACAGGGAAATAAAATCTACTAGCCTAAAATTTAAAATGGAAAACAAAGGTATCATTTAAGAGTTAAATGGGGATGCTTTCAGCAGTTATTGATCTTCAAAATGACACACTGCAGTAAAAGTGACAGTTTCTATAATTTGTGTTTTTTTCATTTATCCAAAGAAAAATGATTCAGAAAACATTGATAAACCTATCAAACCTTTTAACTGAATTATTTTTACAAACCAAGTACAAATTTACAGGCCTTTGTCCCCAGTTTTATTCTTATCCATCACCCTTATTATCAGATACAAAAGGGATTTCAAATTTCCTATTCATTACATCAACATCCTCAGGGCGTCTAGCATCCCGTCGTTTATCGTCCAGTTTCAGCAGGATGACATTCAGTGTTTGTTCCATTGTAGGCGGGAGTTCAGGTGGCTCTAGTCGCTCTCCACTGGAGGATGCTCCACTGCCGTGGCGACTGCGGTTTCCCATCTCAGCCTCCTCCTTTAATCCTAAGCAAAAAGATTAAATATGGTACAAAATATTACAAACATTTCTATACTATGTCAATTAATCTAAAAACATTAAGTAAGAAGACCTACTCTTTATCTCTCTCTTTGCTTTTGAGATGTCATTCATCCATTTCTTGATGGTGGGCTTGCTGGCTTTGTCCGCTAGTGAGGGCTTAAAAATATTACAAAGTAGTTTTGTAAACATATCTCAGACCAAATATTTAGATTATGAAAGACAATGTCTCAACTTCACAGACACATTAACTATTTGTTTACCTTGTAACCATTTTCCTTTTCAAAGTTGTCCTCAAAGTGCTTCAGTTTTTTCTTCAGAGCTATTGGAAATGACAATGATTCTAATTTACTTTCAATTATTTTTTTTTTAGTGTCAGTTAAATAATTACTGAAATAATTCTCCATCTATGATAAAATATTATGTGCATATTCTTTAATTTTTCAGAATTTACCTTCTTGTACAGGCTAGTAATTTTTTGTGTGGTACACAAACCCTGTAATCTTTTTTGGGGATTCTGAACTTACCGTGTAGTTTCTTGCTTTGTTGCTTTATCCTGGCTGTGATGTCAGTTTCCATGTTTGCTGAGCTGCAAAAAATTGAATAAAGCTGGCTAGATAAATGTTTCTATCTTGCACCAAATCCAAAAAATTGAATAAAGCTGGCTAGATAAATGTTTCTATCTTGCACCAAATCCAACAAGAGGCCCATGGGCCACATCGCTCACCTGAGCACATTGGCTAGGCAAAAGCACAAATCAGTTCAGTATTGAAAAGATTACCCGGGGGGGTTTGGGGGGGGGGTTACTTGAGAAGATTTTTAAAAAATTTTCCCATATATTCCTTTATTCCTTTGTAAAAATTTGATCCCCCATTGTGGTTCCTCCCTATCCCAGGGGTCATCATTTGAACTTGAATCTACATGATCTACACTACCTGAGGATGCTTCCATATCAATATGACTAAACATAGCTTTCCTGTTCTTGATAAGAAATATTTTTTCTATTTGTTCTTATGTAAAACTTTCGATCCCCCAATGGGCCCCACCCAACCCCTGGGGGTCATCATTTGAACAAAATTTTATCTACACTACCTGAGGATGCTTCCATATCAAAATGACTAATCATGGTTTGCAGTTCTTCATCAGAAGATATTTTGCTATATATTTCTATTTAAGACTTTGTGGCCCCATCCTACCCACGGGGGTCATGATTTGAACAAAATAGAATCTACACTACCTGAGGATGCTTCCACATAAATATGATCAATCAGGGCTTTGCTGTTCCTGAGAAGAAGATTTTTAAAATTTTTCCTATACATTTCTATGTAAAACTTTGATCCTCCATTGTGGCCCCATCCTACCCCCGGGGGTCATGATCTGAATAAATTTGAATCTACCCTACCTGAGGATGCTTCCATAAAAATATGAACAATCTGGGCTTTGCTGTTCCTGAGAAGAAGATTTTTCCTATATATTTCTATGTAAAACTTTGATTCTCCATTGTGGCCCCGCCCTACCCCCGGGGGTCATGGTTTGAACAAACTTGAATCTACACTACCTGAGGATGCTTCCATATAAATATGACTCATCATGGCTTTGCTGTGCTTGAGAAGAAGATTTTTAAAGATTTTTCCTATATATTTCTATGTAAAACTTTGATCCTCCATTGTGGCCCCATCCTACCCACGGGGGTCATGATTTTAACAAACTTGAATCTACACTACCTGAGGATGCTTCCATATAAATATGACTCATCATGACTTTGCTGTTCTTGAGAATGAGATTTTTAAAGATTTTTCTTATATATTTCTATGTAAAACTTTGATCCTCCATTGTGGCCACGCCCTACCCCCAGGGGTCATGGTTTGAACAAAATAAAATCTACACTACCTGAGGATGCTTCCATATAAATATGACTCATCGTGGCTTTGCTGTTCTTGAGAAGAAGATTTTTAAAGATTTTTCCTATACATTTCTATGTAAAACTTTGATCCTCCATTGTGGCCACGCCCTACCCCCAGGGGTCATGGTTTGAACAAAATAAAATCTACACTACCTGAGGATGCTTCCATATAAATATGACTCATCGTGGCTTTGCTGTTCTTGAGAAGAAGATTTTTAAAGATTTTTCCTATACATTTCTATGTAAAACTTTGATCCTCCATTGTGGCCCCGCCCTACCCCCGGGGGTCATGGTTTGAACAAACTTGAATCTACGCTACCCGAGGATGCTTCCATATAAATATGACTCATCATGACTTTGCTGTTCTTGAGAATGAGATTTTTAAAGATTTTTCTTATATATTTCTATGTAAAACTTTGATCCTCCATTGTGGCCCCGCCCTACCCCCGGGGGTCATGGTTTGAACAAACTTGAATCTACACTACCCGAGGATGCTTCCATATAAACATGACTCATCATGGCTTTGCTGTTCTTGAGAAGAAGATTTTTAAAGGTTTTTCCTATATATTTCTATGTAAAACTTTGATCCTCAATTGTGGCCCCGCCCTACCCCCGGGGGTCATGATTTGAACAAAATTGAATGTACACTACCTGAAGATGCTTCCACATGAGTTTCATCTTTCCTGGCCCTATGGTTCTTGAGAAGAAGATTTTTAAATGATGCATTTATTTTTTCACTAATTCTTAATTATCTCCCCTTGAAAGAGGGCGTGGCCCTTCATTTGAACAAACTTGAATCCCCTTCACCCAAGGATACTTTGTGGCAAGTTTGGTTGAAATTGGCCCAGTGGTTCTGGAGAAGAAGAAGAAAATGTGAAAAGTTTACAACGACGACGACGCCAATGACAACGACGACGACAGACAATGGACAAATTTTGGTCAGAAAAGCTCACTTGAGCCTTTGGCTCAGGTGAGCTAATAAAAATTAGATCTTTAATCATCTTCCCATTTTGTTACATCACGATATAAAAAACATGGGGAGCAGATCAAAGAACTAATTTTAATGAGATTGACATATACTGTAAACCCTGATTCAGATCTTAACTTCATCATGTTACGGCAGAGCCTACCTGTGTTTATAATGATCTTGATTGACAGGTGGAGACGGGGCTACATCAGTATTCATTGGCACACTGCAAAATAAAAAAAATTTTAATTTCAAATTTACAGAAAAGATACAAAATGCTCAGTAAATTTAGTCACAGATGTTTGATAGGAGAAATTAATTATGATTTTGTAGCATCCATGTGCTGAGACTCAAAAGGTTTTCTACTTCAAAATGGGGGAACAAATAATATTTGTACTTTTCACACAAACTGGTCCTTCCAACAGCTCTTATCACAAAGAAATGACATATTCAATACATGAAATACAAAATCTAGCCAGAAATATATACTTCTATATAAAGTATCAAAAAAGGATGGCATAAGAAATAAGAGGAAACAGTAAGAGAGTTTTCTGATAAGTTGAAAAAGAAACCACATAATGTTACTCAAATGGAAACTACAGCATCAAATTAATGGAAAGAGCTAGCAGTTAACTTATCAATGTCGAGAAATTCAAACCAAGAGTGCATGAATGTTAACTGGTGAAAAAGTTTGGGTGAGATACATGAACACGGTAACTTAAGAATTACTCTGTTAGCTAATTTGCAAAGTTAGAAATACAGAGAAAAAAATTCAACCAAAAATTATTATTAAAAACCCTTTGTACTAGGAATACAATGCAAGCTAGTACATGTATATGCAAAGTTTCATTAAAAAGTACATATGTATGTCTATGATTGCATTCAGATTTATGACACTATATACAGTGTATGTAATTTTGTGCATAAAAATTTCCTTTCTTTTCAATATGATACTATTTCATTACAAAATTAGAATAAATTATTTTCTCCTTTGAAAGATAATCAGTTGAACAAATGAGGTATTTTCAGTTTGAACGAATGAGGTATTTAACATATTATTTGGCATCATGACTGTGTCCATTTTTTTTTCATTTTAATAGTGTATCATCCTTTCTCAGTTTTCCCTTGATGGTTTAATATTAGAAACAACACATTATTTAACTCCAAATAATTTCCTATTATTTAAAACATCTATTCAAAATATGACTTGTAATTAGATTCCAAGTTAAACAGTAAGCTCAAGAATATACCTTGTATTCCAGTACACTGAGTTCTTTCAAGTAGGACAATTACTAGTAATAATAAATTCATTAAGGTTAAATAATTGTGCTATTTTTCCTTTCCCTATGTTAAGCAAGAAATCTAGAAAATTAAGAGTGAGAGTCTAGAGTGCCGTATCACCTGGCCGGGGGGCTGCTCTGATAGGCACTGGGAGATGGGGGAGCTTCTAGATCATCTTGACTAGAAAAGGAAATAAAGGTCACTAATATAAAACTCACAATCACTGTTAATCTATTGTTCCAAGATAAATGTACCGGTAGCCCAGGAACAGTGTATCTATCACATAGAAATTAGCACAGCTACGAACATTTAATGATAGGGTTTTTATACACATTACATAAAAAATGTAAAACATTAAATATATATACATGTATTGTCCTATATGTCATCCAGTTGTTATTTTTCAGGAAAATGGTTTTAGTTTCTTTTTTTCCAAATAATATAATAATAATTTTTTTTGTCTTTTTAAAATTACCTACAGTAAGCATATATATTGATAACACTCTGATATCACCAATTCTTAAGGATATCCCATCCTCAGCCAGGAAGGATAACTCTTAAACTTATCATTTTATTTAAAAAGTCTCAAAATGAAGCTTGAAATTGAGATCTTTTCATGCAACAATTGTCATTTTATGCATCTCAATAGGATTCTAGGTTCTTTGAAGTCTTAGAAACGGTCTTGTAAAAAGTTGACATTTGTACCCCATAAAAGACAAAAATAAATTCATTTTTTATACAAATTGAATTTCCCTTAATCTATCATTAGATACCAATGCTTATTTGCATGATATGAAATTACACATGATTTGTGATGTCTAGCAATGATAGCGGAAGCTTTTTACCCTATAACAATTGAAGTAAATAGAAGAACTAAAATAGTACATAAGCATAAAAAAGACGCAATTTTCTCCAAATGCCTGGATACCTATATTTTTTTTATCCTAAAATATATTTGTTGATCAATTTTCAATTAGAACATACATAGCTGAAGTTTTTATTCGCATTTCCTGAAAATATATGTGAGATCTGATAATATTCCCTATATAATACAATTAACTATAATGATGAACTTTAAAGAAATACCATGGGTAAATTCATGTTACTCTATGAAATCAGAGACATTTTGTGAGCATTTTCAATTACCTAAAAGCTCATTTTCAGAACCTGAGGATCAAACTACCTTAATTTGAAAGGCAACTGCTTCTACATAAACTTGCACTAAACCTATCATAACTTGCAGAAAACCTCGTTTTGTTTATTTTGCTAGCATCACATGCTCTCCTTTCAGTGTTAATTCCCTTACTTGGATTTCCTTTTGATGAGTTTGTTACTCCGAGGAGAGATGACAACGTCCGAGGTACCTCCCCCGTTGATGTGGGACTTGGCTAACTGGTACGAGACAGATTGTCCCTTGTCAGCTGGGATTGGATCTGAAAGTAAACATCACATAAAAGTTACAATTACTTTTGCTTTCCTTGTGATTCAGTCAAATTCCTTGTAGCTTGATTGGAATTTCTTGGTAGTAGGCAATCATTATGATAGAGTTTTATCAGAAGTACAGACCCGAGCTTTCAACATGTTCATGAAGCGTTGACAGATCTAATGGTGGAATAAATGGCTTCCTGGCATTGTTGGGTGAGGCATCAGGTGAACTTTTGTTCTCTGTGTGATTTGTGAGTTCTAGGAAGGCCACACGGGGTTTGGGTACCGGCTCCTTCTGACTTGGTTTGCTTTCAGGAAGTGAAGAAGTCTCCAATTCTGCAGAGGCATTATCATTTCTGGACTGGTGGTTTCCATCCTTGATGTCATCTTTCTCTTCTAAAGAGTTTCCACGAGACAGTCTACTTGGAGAACGGCGATTTCTAGGACCAGCAGGCTTCTTGAACTGGAGCTATGATAGAGAGCAAATTCTGTATTATTGCCAAAAAAGTAATAATATCCAGTGGCATATTAATTGCTCGCTTATGAAGAAATGATGTGAACACTAAACTTCAAAGTTTAAAGAAACACAAATATTTTTACAATTTAAGGCAATACTTTTCTGGCTATATCCTACCACATTTCAAACATTTTTGAAACAGTTACTAAAACAAATTTTGTCTCACCTAACAAGCAGTCTCCATGAGCAAATTATTATCTTGAATTTATGATATCAAAATTTTGAGAAATGGAGTATCTTGGTATGCTAAAAGTTAGTAATGTAGTTCCAATGGGATTCATCCTATGTGATACTGTGTAAAAAAAAAAATCATCTTGCTGATGTTTCTTGAGACTAAATAATCAACCTATTCTTCCTATACATGTGATCAGCACTAAAAACAAGTCTAAGGGAAGACCAAATCATGTTGTGAGCCAGTTTCTCATCATTTTTATCCCTTGTGCAGGGTTGCTCTAAGTTGAAACTCTGCTTAATAATTTTTCCTTTAAATTCTGTCTAAAAGTACACATTTCTTAAACAGGCATAACAGACAAACCTGACCATGACACTTTGGATTAATACAAAAGATTGAGATTTTTTTTAATTACAATCACAAATCTCCCTATAGGCTCAAGCCTTTTTTTCTGTCCAAGTGATTCATTAATTTTTTTAAAAAAATGATTGAAATCTTTAGTAAAACTTTCTCCATAAGCATACTGTGAAGAAATGTTGAGCTTACCGATGATAATGTTCCAGAATCTCTCTTCACACTCTCAAAATCATCCTCTCTGTGTACACCACTGATGTCATTTTCTTTTGTACTAAAAACAAATTACATGTACCAATTAACACTTGTTCAATTACTGTATAAAAGCTTTCAAAAAAATTCATATACATGTACATGTACCTAAACTTACAGAATAATTTAAATCTTCATTTGAGATGTATAATTCTACATACCTGATTATATCTGCTTCAAGTTTGTATCCATTCATCTTCACATTCTGTTGTCCCTATGAAATAGAAATACATAAAATATTAACTGTTCACCAGACGAAATACTTAAAACATTAACTGTTCATCAGACAAAATAAATAGCTGATACATAAAAGAAATAAAATATCAATAGCCTATCTACATGTACTAACCTTTGACAGGGAGTTGTCCATGGATTCGTGTCCAGTAGGAGACTGCCTGACAGACTTGGAGGATTTCTGTGTTTCAGCGAGGTCTGTCCCACACTCAAACTGCTTAATACGGTCTTTCACTGGTATTGTGTTCTCCAAATTTTCTTTGCTACAAATAAGTCATTAATTTTTTTTTTTGTGAAAGCGAATGCTATCAAAATCACTCTATTTACACAAGCCTGCAGTTCCATTTCAATTTAAAATGTGATTATAGTGCTTATTTTGAAATTATCTCTTTTTTGTAATTTTGATAAAGGTTTAATTCAGATTTAATAAACCTCTACTTTAACTTTTAACCTCTATTGATTTCTAGAGATTCTGAGTTTTGTCCTTACCTCTCTTCCTCCTCCACAAAGGTTTCACACATACTAATGTCATCCCCAAACAGGTGCTCTTTTATAGACTTGGCTATAACATTCTCTACCACTCTGTAAAAAGATACCATACATCTTTATCTTCCTATGTTTATGACATTTTAATACAATCTTCAAAAGAATTCTAGGAAAAAAGTAAAGTTGGACTGGTTAAATTAAATAGAAGAGTTTAAATAGATTCTGTTTTTAAGTTTCTTTATCATGTGCAAAACCAATCATGTCAGGGTTTGGCAGCTCCTGTATACAGTGGGGGTATTTTGACTTACTCTGACGTTCTTGCTGATGGTAATGGAGATTCTATGATGCTGTATCCACCGTCACTGAAAGAAAAACAAACCACCTGCTTACTGCACTGAAATTTCCAATACATTGTAAAACATAAACCAGGTGTACACAGAAAAGCTCGACATAACAAGAAACAAAGCAAAGTCAATTGTTCTCTATACAGAATGTAATAGGTTTCATCTGTAATTGCATAAACAATTTAAGAAACACTTAATATATTAATTATTGTTCTACTAATGCAATTACTTAACCAGATGTCAAAAAATTAAACAAAGGAAAGAAAACTAATTCTTTGTTGTTTAGTTTTACCTGTCAAGCATAAATGGTGAGGCCCTGCCTGCAATTTCATCATCACTACAACGTGGACTGTGACTCCGCCCCTGGGTGTTACTAGATGATTCCTCGCTGTGGTCAAATTCCTCCATCTCTTGGTAGGGGGAACTGTCATAGGGGTCCATTCTTCCCTACAGACATACCAACAAGGTAATATTAGAAATTGATGGATATAAAGTACAGTGTATCTAAAAATATTAACAAAGCTCATGACCAAAGAGAGAGTATCCAGTTTTATTCTGCATGGTGCATCACATACACTGCTGATGATTCGGTGTCATTTATTGTGACCTTGACACCTCTGACACAATGACCTTGACTGACTTTGGGTCAGACTTACTGTGTTCCTTGGTTTAGGGACTGGTTTGTACTCCTCTACATGGAGCTTGGGAGGGGGAGGTCTAGGAGGGCCTTTCTGTTTTTGTTTAATCTAAAACAAAAATATTTAAATCACTTATTCATCTATATCATAAAAATTATATCTTATATTAATAATTAAGAATATATATATATATATATATATATATATATATATATATATATATATATATATATATATATATATATATATATATATATATATACACACACACACACACACAAGACACATATATCGTTAAATATTATTCAAACACATTTCCCCACTTACCCATTCATTATATGGAGAGATTTCATTTTCCTCTCTGAACAGAGAATCATACAGTGTGATGAATTTATACACAATCTGATTTATCTTCCCTTGGTCTTTCAATCCTACGATTCCCTGACCACATCTGATGTAATAAGTAAGACCATTATCACAGACATTAATACAAAGACAAACACTAATTACTGTGATTACCAGTAAGACAGCCAACAGAATATTACAAAAAGTAGACAATAATTAAAACAGGTAACATGTAATTATAACAGGTATCGCATTAAGAATTACCAGTAGGACACCTCACAGTAAAAATACACAATAATTAGAAAGTATCATGTAATTAACAGACATCACACTAAGAATTAGCATTAGGACACCTCACAGTAAAAATACACAATAATTAGAAAGTATCCTGTAATTAACAGACATCACAGTAAGAATTAGCATTAGGACACCTCACAGTAAAAATACACAATAATTAGAAAGTACCATGTAATTAACAAACATCATGCTAAGAATCGTACACTAGTTCTTCATAATTTGAAAATCATTTCTCTTTAAATAAAACAGAATTACCTGAACAGGTTTGGTCCAAACACAATAGCTAGAGACATTGGACTCATTTTGTTGGTGCGTTCAAACTGTGACACGACCACCAGGAAACGGATCAGGTACCGTAGTACATTATATCGTACCTCGTCTAGCTCCGAGAGTTCTGCCTTCAGGGCAGATATACAACCAGATGGGTCATTTTGATACTCTGTGAAAATAAAGAAATACATTCCTCATTTTATATTAACTGTTTTGTAACCTTATATAACTTGTATTATGTTGTATTTTCATAAATTTCTTATTTGTCTGCAATCCATGGATATCTAGACTCTAATTTCATATCATATAATCTGCGGATTGGTTTTCTTTTCCTTCCCAAAAGGTGATTCATATGTCTGAAACATTTAGCATTAATGATTATTTCAGAACACAAAAATTCTCTATCTTTATATGAAAACTCATTATACAATCCAGATGTTCCCAGGACACTTATAGATATATGAGGAAATTGGGCCCCAAAAAGACAGTTAAGATGTATAATTTGTAGTGTCGTCAAATCAGATGATTTTTAGAAACTGGTTAAAAGTTTACTTTTCCAATCAAGTAACCAGTTACTCGGACGGTTTTTCTTTAGACATCGAAACATTCTTGTTCGACATATATGTACTCAACTGCAATATATATTGTATGTAATTTCGTTACACATCATTTGTATATCGGTATATACAAAACACAAATGCACTGCATATGAACTTTACTTATAATTACAAATACATCATATCTTCTAAATAAATTTCTTCTCGAACACCCCATAATCGTTGGCTGGTTTGCGCTTTATATATCACTGGTTTCACAGTTAAACTTCAGTCTGACGTGGTTAAGCATTTTCCCACCCGTGTACATGTATGTTAATTCCACCTTTACAAAATTTACACTTCACGGATTTAAATTCAGCCATTTTTTTTTAAATATTTCCATGCTTGTGGCGGCATCTTCTTTAATTTAGTACTGCGGACGAGCACAGGTTTATAAAATTAATGTGAGGTTATTAAAATTAAATCAAGCCTTCTTGTATACACCTTGGCAATCAAAGCCATCAATTAGATAAACTGTGAAATACTAATCAAAACAAATCGATCGCATTTGTAAAACCCTAGATTGATACTTGTACTAACGTTAAATAACGGTAAAGGAAACGGGGACATTATAAACAATAATACATTATTCCTACTAATTTACTTTATAAAATTCAATATATCTAAGTAACTGAGTAGCAGTTTTACTAACCGATACTTGCATCATACGATGATTAACCAGTTACTCATTGACAACACCGATAATTTGAAATTAAAGTTATCCCCCCCCCAAAAAAAAAACAAACACAAACACCCATATACATACACTGAAAATGTTGGTGATGAAAGACATGGGTGAAAAAGATTCACAAACTATCATGTTTGAATTTAAATAATATTTCAATATATTCAGGGCATTACATTTAAGTACTTTAGACATACTCTTTTTTTTATGGGATTAATTTACACTATGTGCCAGCTGGTGCACGATCACAGATTTTCACAGGAAATTTGACAAAGCAACTTAAATTACATTTAAGATATCATATACAATAGTAATCCAAGAAATTCGTGTAATTTCCTACCCCAAGATTGAATAGAAATTGAGATTCTCTGGAATTATGACCTTGTGGAAACTTAATAGAGAATTGAAAAGGCTATACATTGTAGTACATTTTATCTCTGTCCAACTTGCAATGATCAATAAAAATACTAGATAATATGAATATTATAATGTACATCTGAACATGCAGTCTCTGAAACTGACTATATACTGGAAACGTGTCCAGTTCTCTTTTTTGGACACATTTAATGTGTCCAGTTCTCTTTTTTGGACATGTTTATGCATTAAGACAGCTGTCACAAACACACATTTTGACATAAAGCAAATTTATTCTCCACTAGACATTCAAAGAGAAAATAAATTTTACATTTTATATTAAAAAAGATATAAAGTGATTTTTTTTCACTAGTTCTATCTTTGTAAATTGTAATCTTATCCATAATGTCTTGTGCAATTTTTAAATACCTTCTTGAATGGCTATGAACCTCTGAGTCTTATTCTCTGGAATCAAAGAACCTGGAATTTCTCGTAAAAATAACTTGAGTAAGCTTGCCACTGCCATCAAATCTTCCTCTTCATAAAAGTCTGCATCCCCTCGCATGTCAAAACTCGTACGGTACTTCTCCACAATTCTGGTACTGCCATTAATTCGGAAAATTCCCTCCACTTCAAATCCTGCAGAGCATAGATGAATAAAAAATCGTATTGTCAGGAATTTTTTCATATATGTATATACATTACTGAAACATGTCACAATGGTCTCTTTTTCATGAAACACATTAAATGTATTTTTAAACTTAATTTTAAACTTTTCAACACATCAAATATCTTATTACAAATGTGAAATCCATGTTGTTTTTTTTTTTCAGTGTCAAAATTTCTTACAAACATTTACTGCACCATAGTAAGTGTAATAATTTTATTTTGCCTACAATTTTCAGCACAGTATACCCTAATGTAAACAAGATTGGGATAGTTCATGACTTTGTACTTAAATTTATGACCTTGTACTTTTCCTTCTGGCTGCCATAAACATAAACCTAGAGTTTCAGGACAATGTTATATATATACATTGTCGTCATATTGATCTACAGAGCATGCAGCACTCTAGATATCTGAGTCTGTTCTACATATTTGTTTAGTCTATGTTGTTACACACCTTTATCTCGAATGTGTTCACAGATTTTGCTGACTATGTACGGCACCGTCATTCCCGAGGAGGCCCTGCTCATTAGTTCCTCAAGCGGCACGCCAAACGTCTTGTTCATATTCCCTAGTCCTTTTTTTCTTGTGCCAGGACTTAATAATTTTTTCATCTTGTCCACAGACGACATGGTCAAATTTCCAGTCTTTGACTGAAAAAAAAGTCAAAGTAGCAAACTGTTAAAGCGGAGAATATTTCTGACAAGCTGTTTGATGACAAATCCAAAAATAAACGATAAACTCTGACCAAGTTATCTACCACTTTAAGTAGTGTTCCTAATTTTAGCCATGGTCTACTGATAACCAACATAGCATAAAACAATGTTTATGTGGATCATGACAATATACCTATGGAAATCAAACAATTATTTTTATTGTCATATCAGCATATAACTTTCAGAATTGTTATTGCTAATGAGCATTGCAGGTCTGTTACATAACTATTGACATTTTTGTCAATAACAATTTTTTAAATATCCCTAACATTGATAAAGTAATCAACTATGCTAATTCAGCATTTTCCCCTATCATCACTGCTGTTTTTCTTATATAAGTAGCTAATGATACTAAAGTACAACTCATACTGAAGACCATCACCTTCACTATAAAGTTCATTCACAGCAGGTTAGATTTTACTTCATCCTATAAAAACCAGTACTAAATCCACTGAGTCACAAAACTGAAGAATTTATAGAGTACTTGATGTTCTAAGAAGCATTTCAAATGAGCTAAACAAATTACAGGTATTTTGGTTTGTAGTTCTAACACTTCAAGCTTTTTACATCAACAAACTTTGAAGTGCAAAGAAATTCTAATTTTAAGTGAAAATATGCATAAGGGTTTTCACTTTTCTCTGACACTTGAAGAAAAAAAAATACTAATAAATAAAGGAGTGATCTGCCCACTCTACAGCTGACATGGTTTTCCTATCAGTCCTGCCATAACTACCACGTAAATATATTTTTGGAGAGGTCTACACGCTGTCAGTTTCTTATTGATTACAGAATGTGCATAACATTGAAATATTTAGAATGGTTATCATGACATTTATAGTATGCAGAAAGGGTCTTGCACTTTTAGAAATCAAAATTCTTGTGAATAATTTCTATAGTCTAAATAATTTCTACAGTAGAAAAGAGAAAGTTTGTAATTTCACCTATCAATTACCAAATGACAAATTAAAACAATTTCCTCAAGTGCTAGAATAAAATTGAAGTATTTAATCCTTTCTGATAGTAGGTTTTTGCAATTTTTAATGATTAGACCATAGCTATATCAGATAATTCACATATAATAATATAAACTTAATAAGCATTATGGTTTTTTTCCTCATTTAGTAATTGCTTTTCAAGGAAAAAACCTTGATTTGTACATACCGGTAAATTCATCTGAGTACAGACCTTATATATACATAATATTTTACCAACATAACGAATATAAATTTACATGAGAAGATACTTCTTTAATTTATATAAACAGATTTTCCACTTACTGCTGTGTGAATGCCTTGTGTGGAATACAAGTCACTAGATCCGTCCTTTACATTAACTCTCATTTCGTCCCCCCCTCAGTCTCTACTGGTACTGCATTCTACAAACAAAACAGTACAAATTAGCAGGTGCCCCTTCTACATGGAACCTTATTTCTGTCACAGTCAGCACTCACAGGATTTAGTAGGACCATCCATCAACCGCTCTCAGTAAGCCTGTACAAAATACTCTGTACATATTTTTGTTATGTCACGATATGAAAATGAATGACAAGACAAACCTGTGAAATTGTCTACTATTAGAGATGACCGATTTATTGGCATATATACACACTACACTCTCATTAACCTTTTTTTTTTTGAAACAGTACATTAATTTTTTAAAGATTTCCAATTCTTGAATAACTATTAAAAGTATTAAAACTACCTACCATGAAAAAATAAGGAGTAGGCAAATACTTTTCATTTTCTCTCTATTGTTTCTTTATTTTAACAATTTCTGATTTTCAACTTGTGTGATCTTAAATACTGGCCTAAAATCTATTATTTTTATAAATCTGCAGGCCTGTTTATCTCTGAGCTGCTATTCTGGTATTGAACCACCAGTTAGGAATCCCGATATCAGGCTTATAATATACACCCACTTTTCTGTTTGTGCAGATTTACATCCCCCTAGATAATTCTTGATGCCAAAATCAGTGACAATGCAGAGGTAAAGAAAAATAGAGAAAAGGAAGAAATGTTATCAGAACGGCTATCTCGTGCATCATCTTATTCCCTCACCGAATTCCTACAAAAACACAACTGCAGTTTCCTGCACTCTTTCTTTTGGAAGCTTTAAAGATAAGCTGTAAAAATAAACAAACATGACAGTAGGATGCAGATGACTCTTTAATCTTAAAAACAGACTTTATGAATGAAAAAGAATGTTTACCTGGTTTGTTAGATAAGACTGGAGATTTCCCAGACTTTTCCTACAGAATGGAGAGAAATGTTTCTCTAAAAAGAATTCCAAAACCACTACAGTTGGAAACGGGGTTTTCCACAGCACTATAATATTTGGATGTTTAACCCATTATCTGGCCAGAAGACCTGGTGTTTATTTACATCCCTCAAGGTCACCCACTCTGACTGAGCCGAAACACTTTAACATTCTATAATGTGACCCTCAGATCCAAACAGATTAGCTCAAAAACACATAAATGGAGTTAAAAGCTTCTGGCCTTAAAAACAGTTGGTACAACTCAGAATTTTATCTTTCTTATGATTTAAAAACTTCTTAAGAATGAAGTTATCAGTATATTTCACTGAGTGTGAATTAAATTGCCAAGTTTTAAATGCATGTTATGAAATCCAGATTACCTAAATATTATTTTGGACCTGCTTGAATAACTCTGTAGATCAAATAACAATAGAAGTTTATAATCTTAGAACCATGCCACTCTATTTCAGTTTGTGTTCTAAAGGCCCTTTGAATGAGAATGTGCCAACACACTGGCAGCATTTATCAGAAAATATGCTGAATGTTTTGAAGTCCTAAATCCTTCTAGTCACCAACTAAATGTCAGCACAACTCACAGACAAATAATCAATGATGTCAACTTACTTAAGTTATGATTTGCTTGAAATATGGAGATAATGAACAGTATTCAAGTTCTTAAGATCTTCTGCATCTGATGTTGGACAAATAGAAGAAGAAAAAAAAAAAATGCTGTCTTTCTCCAGATTTTCTTTATATTTGTTTGGTCTAATCAATCTCAAGATTATCTGTGTTTGGTCTAATCAAATCAATTATATGATTCGGAATATATAAGGAAGTCAAATTCAAAGCTTCATAGTGCTGTAGAGACATAATAACATTACTAAATACAGTCAAACTCGGTTATACAGAACTTATACAAATTGCTTATAAGAATCACTTATATTAAAATCTTAGTAAAAAGAAATTTTTTACAGATCCCAGAGACTTCTTTTCACTATGTTCCTTACATTGATATAAAGAATATCAGTTATAAGGAAGCAAAATTCAATATCTGTGTGACCTCATTATTACTGAGTTTTACTGTACAATGGATAATGCCTGATAATGGTCCTACGTGAAATTACTTATGAAGGTCCTAAAGACACAGAAGTGGTCCTATATACCAGGTAGTGTTCCTACATAACATTACAGGAGGTGATCCTATATAACATTATAGGTGGTAATCCTACATAACATTACAGGTGGTGATCATACATAACATTACAGGTGGTGATCATACATAGCATTACAGGTGATGATCCTATAAACATTACAGCTAGTGATCCTACATAACATTACAGGTGGTAATCCTACATAAAATTACAGGTGGTGATCCTACATAACATTACAGGTGGTAATCCCACATAACATTACAGGTGGTGATCCTACATAACATTACAGGTGGTAATCCTACATAACATTACAGCTGGTGATCCTACATAACATTACAGGTGGTAATCCTACAAACAGTACAGCTAGTAATCCTACAAATATTACAACTGGTGATCCTACATGTATTACTGCTGGTGATCCTACATAACATTATAGGAGGTGATCCTACATGACATTACAGGTGGTGATCCTACATGACATTACAGGAGGTGATCCTACATGACATTACAGGTGGTGATCCTACATAACATTACAGGAGGTGATCCTACATAACATTACAGGTGGTAATCCTACAAACAGAACAGCTAGTAATCCTACAAATATTACAGCTGGTGATCCTACATACATTACAGATGGTGATCCTATTTAGCATTACAGGTGGTGATCCTACATTACATTACAAGGTGTGAGCCTACATAACATAACAGATGATCCTTCATAACATTACAGGTAGTGATCCTACATACCATTACAGGTGACAATTCTACATTACATTACAAATGGTGATCCTATATTTACAGGAGTTGATCTTACATAATATTTAAAGCAGTGATCCTAGATATCATTACATGTGGTGATCCTACATAACATTACAGATGGTAATCCTACATAATATTACAATTGGTAATCCTGCATAACATTATAGGTGGTAATTCTACATAATATTTCAGGAGGTGATCCTACATAATATTTCAGTAGGTTTTCTCACATAACTATAATGGGGGTAATCCTACATTACTTTACTGGTTGTGTTCCTACATAAGGCCTAAAAAAAAATTATGTTTGTTTCCTGTAACATTCCCAAAAAATCAAGGGTCGGTAGGTCGGGATTTTTTTTTTTTTTTGCTTATGAAAGGGGTCAAACATCCCCGGACTGAATTAACCAGGTGTGATATTTACAGCGGACACCCAACATGGCCGTCTAGCGGCAGAAAATGAACTTCAAATAGTTGTGGGGGAAATGCTTGATGTTAAAAAATGATGTCTTTATATTTAAAGTTAATGTTGACTATTTTGACATATTTATACCTCAAATAAAGCTACAATTAACATTTTTGTATAAATTGAATCAGCTGACTGATCAGACACAAAAAATCCACCTGGGGGTAATTTGAATGGGTCGGTCAGGTTACAGGAAACAAACAATTTTTTTTAGACCTAACACTACAGGATGTGATCCTACATAATGTTGCATGCAGTGATCCTACATATAAACATTCCTGATGACAGTCCTACATAGCATTTCTGCTAGTGATCCTATTGAACATTACTGATGATGGTCCTACATAACTAAAAGTGGTCCTTAGTAAAATTACTATATGGTTTTCCTTCATAGAATTACTACTGAGGGCCCTACTAAACATTACTGCTGGGAAGTCCTACACACATGTGTAAGTCTGACAGACACTTGGTAATATTAATTAGTGTTAACATTCTGACAGACACTTGGTAATATTAATTAGTGTTAACATTCAAATCAAAGCATCATCTACAAAATGACCAAGGGAACTTGCTCAAGCCATCACCTTATGTCATTTTCTTGAAGATATTTGTGTTTTCCTCTAACAATCAGACTGCAATCAAATCAGTACAGGGGCCCTTCAAGAAGTGATGCACTGCAGAGCATACCATTGAATGACACATCAGTATATAATGCAGCATACAGAATGTACTGGTAGTGCTACAATAGATTCCTGGCTGACTGATGGACCATTTACCTAGAAGACTCTGTACTATAACTGACAGGACAACCTAGGCCTTATCTGATACTAATGACATTCTAACACACATTTTTCTGATACTAAAGACATTCTAACATAATCTTTCGATACTAAGGACATTCTACTACACAATTTTCTGATACTAAGGAGAGAAAACAACTTGAGTAGTTCCTTTCATTCAGAAAAGTGTCATACTGGTATAATCTTTATGTTAATTTCACAAAACCACATTTGAAAAATAATTAAATTGAAATGAGTAAATTTGCAGTAAATTTCCATAGGTTTAATATATAATGAGAAAAATGTAAGTTTTTATGTACATTTTTCTTTTGTACTCTACCTAAATTTAATTGTTTTGATATGGATCAAATTTTTATACTTCATATTATTGGACTATTAAAGTCTCCATGAATTACATATCTTTTATTCTTATCATAATATATTTTCCAGAAAAAGTCAATTAACCATTCCTGGTGATTCTACCCAATTCACTTACATTCAACAAAAGTACACCAGTGGTTGCTGAGTTATTAACAAATATATACTGCAAAATCTAAAATAAGCAAAAGTCTAAGTAATATAAGAGTACACTGTGAAAAATAATAATGTTTACATGAAGATCGTTATCAATATGCCATATTTTTAAGAAATTGCTTAAAATTTTTGCTTTAATGCAACTAAACTGGAAGAAGGACACCCAACACTACCCCAAAAAATAACAATAGATTAGAATTACATAATGAGATAATAATTATCACAAGAAGCTAACTTTTATATTTTATGTTTGAGGACATAAGGGTAAAGGGAACTTTTGGAAAACTTAAAAATACTCAGAAAATTTTTCATTTAGGTCAAAGGAAAAGAATTTCATTTAGTTTATGTGGATGAAGTGTGTGTCCAACTTGTCTAAAGACAGAAATCATACTCCAGATGACTTTACAATGAAATCTGCTTTAACCTTCACCTCTGACTTTAAAAATTGGCTCAAGGACACTGCACTCACTTTATCCAAGGGCACTCTTTAACGAAATTTTAGCCAGATTGGGCCAAGAGAAAAGAAATATGGTCTATATAGAGACTTATTTTGACATTGACATGGAAATTTAGACCAAGACCACTATGGAATATGAGCCAAACTGGTCCAAGGGTATAGTCCAGACAAGGATTTTACTTTGACTGTGACCTCTGACCTAAAAATATGTTCAAGTTCACTGCAAACCCCTTATCCAAAGACACTCTATTGGTGAAGAATAAGCTGTATTGGGCCATTGGGTAAAGAAAATATGCTCCAAACAAGAATTTTACAATGGGGCTTATTTTGACCTTGAACTTTTATATAAAACCTTTACTGCATAACTTTTAACCCAAGGGTACTGTATGAGTGAAGAAAGAGCCAGGTTGGGTCAAGGGGAAAGAAAATATACTCTGGAAGAGTTGTATTTGATGGACAGGCAGAGCCCCCGATTGATCACTGTAAGGTGCCCACAGAAAGGGGTTCCAATAAGCAGTAAATATTAGTTGTGGGCTGATGAATTGGTTATTTTAAGTAAAAATCAATTAATTCATCAATTTAAATTCACCAAAGTTTAACAATGAAAAACTGTGGACAATTCCTTAATAGATCTAAATTTTTTAAAAAGTTTTTTTTTAACTCTATATTACAAAATGGTCCTAAAAATCAACTAAAATCATAAAAAAAAACCCATTTTAATTCTTCTTAAATATTCTATTGAAGCTTTCCACTTGAAACTTTAGTCATGGGACTATATTATCACTGATGAAATTTATTTTGTTTTATATTTACCAATAATCTAAATACTTTTCAAAAATTACATCATATTTAATGAGACAGTAAAAAAAAATCACAGTGCAATATTGTCGGTGATTCTTTCAGACAAAGTGATAATATTAGCAAAATATTAAATATACTATCAAAATTTTGATACGCATGGAATTGTTAAAAGATTGTTAAATCACAAAATCAATCTGTTCCATTGTATGAAGCAAATTCCCAGTTGTAAATACAAGAGAAGAGAACTCTTACCTTGCTGCAGTCTCCAGTGTGTGTTGCTTTTCTACGGCTGTTTGAGCGAACGACAGGACAAAATACGTAGTTTCAACATTCAGCTAATTCAAATGATTCTGTATGATTCCTGGATATATCTGATAAAAAAAAAATAACAAAGTCAGTTACATAAGTAGGAGACTGATATTCTATCACCTACAACACTTCTCTGTGAAGGTACCTGTGTTCCAATAGAGTATAACACTACCCTTCCCTGGAGGTAGTCATTGGAGAGCACATAGATATATTGATGGTATTTCTATTTGCTGCTTTATAATATACTGCTTCTATTTCAGTAACTTTATGCCAAGATCAGGAAAACCTAGATCTATTGTGTGCAATACACAACTGCTAGACTTTCTGCAGTCTCTGAGAAATCATATGTTAAAAATTTATAACATTATCTGATCTAATAAAACTTCAACCACATTTTCATTTTAGGTGGCTATCAGATGGGTGATAATAAATTTACATTCTTAAATCAATTTAATCAAATATTAGATAGGTTTTACAACTTTACTCAAAGTCCAATCATGACCCACTTATTGGACTGGGCCTATGCAACACTGATGAAGAAAGAATAAATCAGAAGTACTTGTAAACTAACTGAACAAAAATAGCTCAACAGAAAACTATCAGCAAAGATTGTTATGTTGGACATAACAATTTCTGTAGCAGTGGATTTGAGACATATGTACGCTGGACCACAGCCAATAATTTACTTTTAAATGAAAAGGCTGCTGTTTTAATGAGTTTACATGCTCGCAAGAGTATACTTTATATCCTGTGGAGGAATGTTTATTCATATGTTCAGTTATTCATTTGTGAAGTTTCAGGGACCGTCTTTTTTGTTTACACTTAGCAGCTCATTCTTTGTTTACACTTAGCAGTTCATTGTAAAACGACCACAAGGAAGTTAACTTTAAATCATAGAAAAAAAATATACCATTCAAGTTTACATTGTTACAAATAAACTACATGGTTTTAACCAATACACATAATAATCTGAAAATCACATGGTAAGGCTTAGTATAATGCTAACAAGAGAGGAATAGACTGGGACTAAACAACTGAACAGTTCAGAACAGACTGACTGCAGGGCACCAATGGGGACTTGTCCAATTTTTGTTTTAGTTATTTTCTCTAAATATTCCTAATTAGACAACCTACTATTTGATATCAACCCTCAACAATACATTGTACATGTACTTTCTCCATACTGATTGTTCGAATCATTCAAATGTCACTAGCATAAATAGAGGATATTCAATGGATTTTAGCAACATACTTGGGAAGAAATTGGCAGTTTCATTTGATTGTCACAAGCATAAACAATGTTATTACATTTTCAAGAGTGAAATATGTGATTTATTTATTGAACAAGAGGCCCATGGGCCACAACGCGCACCTGAGAAACTTTGGCCTTGCTGTTTTTCACCTGATTTCACCCCCTTGTAGTACTTATTGTGGCCCCACCCTACCCCCCGGGGTCATGATTTGAACAATTTAGAATCTACACTAACCCAGAATGCTTCCACATAAGTTTCACCTTTTCTGGCTAAGTGGTTCTTGAGAAGAAGATTTTTAAAGATCTTTATTACATATTTCAATGTAAAACTTGGATTCCTTATTGTGGCCCCGCCCTACCCCCGGGGGTCATGATTTGAACAATTTAGAATCTACACTACCCAAGGATGCTTCCACATAAGTTTCACCTTTTCTGGCACAGTAGTTCTTGAGAAGAAGATTTTTAAAGATTTTTACTACATATTTCAATGTAAAACTTGGATTCCCTATTGTGGCCCCGCCCTACCCCCCCCCCCCCCGGGGGTCATGATTTGAACAATTTAGAATCTACACTATCTAAGGATGCTTCCACATAAGTTTCACCTTTTCTGGCTAAGTGGTTCTTGAGAAGAAGATTTTTAAAGATTTTTATTACATATTTCAAGGTAAAACTTGGATTCCCTATTGTGGCCCCGCCCTACCCCCTGGGGTCATGATTTGAACAATTTAGAATCTACACTAACCCAGAATGCTTCCACATAAGTTTCACCTTTTCTGGCTAAGTGGTTCTTGAGAAGAAGATTTTTAAAGATCTTTATTACATATTTCAATGTAAAACTTGGATTCCCTATTGTGGCCCCGCCCTACCCCCGGGGGTCATGATTTGAACAATTTAGAATCTACACTACCCAAGGATGCTTCCACATAAGTTTCACTTTTTCTGGCACAGTAGTTCTTGAGAAGAAGATTTTTAAAGATTTTTACTACATATTTCAATGTAAAACTTGGATTCCCTATTGTGGCCCCGCCCTATCCTCGGGGGCCATGATTTGAACAATTTAGAATCTACACTAACCCAGAATGCTTCCACATAAGTTTCAGCCTTTCTGGCTAAGTGGTTCTTGAAAAGAAGATTTTTAAAGATCTTTATTACATATTTCAATGTAAAACTTGGATTCCCTATTGTGGCCCCGCCCTACCCCCCGGGGTCATGATTTGAACAATTTAGAATCTACACTAACCCAGAATGCTTCCACATAAGTTTCACCTTTTCTGGCTAAGTGGTTCTTGAGAAGAAGATTTTTAAAGATCTTTATTACATATTTCAATGTAAAACTTGGATTCCCTATTGTGGCCCCGCCCTACCCCCCCCCCCCCCCCCCCCCCCCGGGGTCATGATTTGAACAATTTAGAATCTTCACTATCTAAGGATGCTTCCACATAAGTTTCACCTTTTCTGGCTAAGTGGTTCTTGAGAAGAAGATTTATAAAGATCTTTATTACATATTTCAATGTAAAACTTGGATTCCCTATTGTGGCCCCCCGCCCTACCCCTGGGGGTCATGATTTGAACAATTTAGAATCTACACTAACCCACGGATGCTTCCACATAAGTTTCAGCCTTTCTGGCTAAGTGGTTCTTGAGAAGAAGATTTTTAAAGATTTTTACTATATATTTCAATGTTAAACTTGGATTCCCTATTGTGGCCCCGCCCTACCCCTGGGGGTCATGATTTGAACAATTTAAAATCTACACTACCCAAGGATGCTTCCACATAAGTTTCAGCCTTTCTGGCTAAGTGGTTCTTGAGAAGAAGATTTTTAAAGATTTTTATTACATATTTCAAGGTAAAACTTGGATTCCCTATTGTGGCCCCGCCCTACCCCCGGGGTCATGATTTGAACAATTTAGAATCTACACTAACCCAGAATGCTTCCACATAAGTTTCAGCCTTTCTGGCTAAGTGGTTCTTGAGATGAAGATTTTTAAAGATAATTATTACATATTTCAATGTAAAACTTGGATTCCCTATTGTGGCCCCGCCTTACCCCCGGGGGTCATGATTTGAACAATTTAAAATCTACACTACCCAAGGATGCTTCCACATAAGTTTCACCTTTTCTGGCACAGTAGTTCTTGAGAAGAAGATTTTTAAAGATTTTTACTACATATTTCAATGTAAAACTTGGATTCCCTATTGTGGCCCCGCCCTATCCTCGGGGGGCCATGATTTGAACAATTTAGAATCTACACTATCCCAGGATGCTTCCACATAAATTTCAGCTTTTCTGGCCCAATGGTTCTTGAGAAGAAGATTTTTTAATGACCCCACCCAATTTTTGTATTTTCTTGATTATTTCCCTTTTGAAGGGGACTTGGCCCTTCATTTCAACAATTTATACTCCCCTTCACCCAAGGATGCTTTGTACCAAGTTTGGTTACAATTGGCCCAGTGGTTCTTGAGAAGAAGTTGAAAATGTGAAAAGTTTACAGACGGACGGACGGACGACGGACAACGGGTGATCAGAAAAGCTCACTTGAGCTTTCAGCTCAGGTGAGCTAATAAAAGTGATATGTATATGCTTTGCACTCATGAAAATATCAAAAAATCCTATTTATGCCCCAGAAATCTTGCATGAATTTAGAGATTCCTTGACTTCACCACAGAAGAGCGGTAGTAAGATAGATAACCATGAGGTCATTGCAATACTAAGTATTGACTGTCATTGTAGACACGTCTCTAATTGACATGTGAGATACAGGTAAACATCAGGTACATGTCACCTCTCTAAACAGAAACTAATGAATGCAATTATAAGAATATTAACAGCTTCTTTATGCTATTTCTCGGTTACTATTAATAACTCAGAAGGGAAGGAGATGGCTATTACCTACAAATGGCCAAATGATATGTTATTCACTTCAATCTATTTTCAACTGAACTTAAACTAGTATGCCTTGCATTCATTGTCATATGAAAATAATATGTCCTAAGGATATATACGAGGGTTGTTAGAAAAGTTTACGGACACATTGATTTACGGAAAATTTATTGCGTACTTTGAAGAATGACATATGTAAAAGATCAGGTCCATTTATTATATTTTTGAAAAAAATACAATGATTTTTACTGTGCGGCAATAGGATTCACAAAGCAATCACTTGACGTTTGGTGTCGTGACAACCTGATTCCAGACCTGTTAAGCTTTTTCACAGGTTTAAATTTCTTTCAGTTCTATAGACTTTTCATGTCTTTTCCTATTTAAAAATGCATATTAACTATAGCAAGACATGTTACATTTTTCTAAAATGTCTTGTGGCGTATCGGATATTTAGTGAGATCTTAAAATCCATGTCTACGCAGTTAAGTGATCAGGTATGGAAACAATGCAAAATCCATAAGCGCAACATCTATGCGATAAGCGGGGTATTGGGGTATCGCAGAAGTTGATCAAAAATGTCAATCCTTCCATTCTTACAAAGCCACTACCATTTGAACACTTTGGTTCTAGATATGTGTAGGAAGTCCCCAGCAGCATCCAAAAAACATTCTAGTCTCTTTCAGACATTTTCCTGTCTGTAGACATAATTTTTTAATAGATCGGAGCTCCAAGACGTTAAATGAAGTTGCTATTCTTGACTTTGTTTTTACGCATTGAACATCTATAATTAGCAATAAAACAGTCAAATCCCCTCCAATTTAATTCAAATGTTTCATGAATATTGTAGCAACATGTGGAATTTCATAAATCTTCATGCACTACAACATTGCAATTTTCAATTTCACAAAAATTTCTATGTGATGTAAAT